ACTGCACTGAAAAACGAAATTTCAACTTCTGGCAGAACCTACAGACTACAACCGTTCAGTGATGAAAAGACAAAGCACTGTAGAAAGACTCGGCATGTATGACAAGATACTTCATTTTCCATCCATCAGGTGAGTAGGTAGATCACATGCATTCAGTCACACAATCAAGACCTCAGAGGAGTAGGAAAAGAAACCCAGAGTACCCCAGCAGGTCAATCAATACCATACACACATACATGGGCATCCCGTAGGTGCACGGCACTTACCTGAGTGGCCTTGAGCTTCGAGATGAAGAGAACTCACCCCCCTTCTCATATGGTCCTCCTGACCCATCTAACGCTACCCCTCAAACATTATGTTGACTGCACTATTGCAGAAGAACAAGCAGACACTAAATGAAGCTTCTAAAAACAGTCCCAGATATCTATGAAGTTAGACAATGTGCTTGCACGAAATGAAGCTTCTAAAAAAGCAATCAAAAGAAACGACAAACAGTCCTGATAGGCAGTCTCAATGACCAACACCCCCATCTTCTCCATGCTGTGGTACATAGTTCCATATGGGCATTCCCAGACTGCAGTGTAACAGAGTTGAATAACAAAGCAAGAGCTTACCTTTGGGCTGGCAACCCCAGCAGAGAGAGATACATACACATGGTACGACACCAGAAGGAGACCATCCTCAGGAGGATTAGGAATCAGGCTCAATCAGCGATCCAGAACAGGAGGTGGAAACGCTACAAGTGGAATAGATTGCGAAGTTCTTGACCGAACAGGACCTGGCCTGGTCTAGTCTGGCAAGAGATGGAGATGGCATCCAAAAAAGCCAACTCCAACGGTGTCTCCTTCAACATGTCCGGTCTTCCTGGGTCATGAATAAGGAGCGCAAAGACAGGGAGGAGGAAAAGAGCAAGAGGTACACCACCAGAGGCTGATCCAACCCCCACACCCTGTCGGACGTCCTTGATGAGGATCTGGAGAGAAATCATTCCTCAGAAGGTACGTAAGCCCAGATCCAAAAGGAGGTAACCAGTTTTTGGTAATCCTTGGGTGCGGGCGATGGCAACCATCCCTGGACTATGACGGACAAAGGCAGTCGAAATGAATTTGGGCCAGGTGAACGTGGGCGGTGAAAAGACTGTGGCTTGGTTGTCCCAACTGGAGGTCAACGCAGCCGCCACAGCAAAACAAGCATTTTCTCCAGCTCGTTCAGTCCTCCAAGGCCCTTTAGGACTCTCTATTTACCTGCAAAACTCAGAGATAGGAGCCTCGATCTATGGAAGAAAACCTACCAAAGCTTCCTGTGCACTACAGCCTATGTTGTACATAGGCTATAGTACAGATCCTGCAGCATCCTCACTGTCTATGTTCAGATCCTTTACACAGGTGCCTGCGACTGCTGTTCGCTGTATCCGAGGTAGGGCCCACAAGTGCCTGCAATGACTTGCTGATTTCTGCTGCCGAGATTCACTGCGAGGCTGTACACTAACCGTAGGGTTAGTTTTGTAATTTTGTTTGGCTGAGGGCTAACCGAGAGGTCCGTCTGTGAGGAAATTCGTGAGGGACAGATCTGCAAATCCGGGAAAATACAGGCCCGGTACCTGTCTCTTATACACATCTAGATGTGTATAAGAGACAGCATGAAAAGTGTGTTTGAGAACGAGTCTGATTGCACAGAAAATGATAGATTCCTGAATCCTGACTTTGTCCTTCTTGGGGACTTCTCTCCATGGCTCATTATATATTATACAACCGCTTACATGCTCTTGTCAGTCTTCTGACTCTTCTCTTCTCTCCATGGCTCGTTATACATTATACAACCGCTTACATGCTCTTGTCAGTCTTCAGACTGTTCCCTTACTCAGATGATTTTTCATCCCAGTACCAGGAGTTCGCGGCTCACGACAAGTACCACAGCTTGCAAATTGTCCTAGAGAGGTTAGAAGAGGATGTCACGCAGACATCTTGATACGTAGTCCACATACTCTACGTTTTGCAGCAGCTGTTCAAACCGTAGGGCCACTTGTCTGGTGTCTCTGTTTGTATGTTGATCCACTTGCCGAGGCCCAGCTATTGCGACCACCTTTTGGATTCTAGTGCTGCTCCATCTTGCCCCTGCACCACACTGCAAGCAAGCGCGGGTGATGCCATGTAGCACCAGTGTTGGGACAAGCCCAAAACTGCAGCATCAGGGACAGGATACTTTGTGAGTTGTGAAAACGATCTGGTAGGTTTGGCAGACTGGTGGGTTACGGGTGTTATGGATAGTGACAGTGACATGACAACTGTTTGATGGAGTGCGCAATCAGTTTTGATCTCTCTGTTTTGCAACATGGATTGAACGATCTGCTGTTTTGCCTAGGTGTCCTTGTTGGTGTATCTCACATCTCAAATGCTTGTCTCAGGCCACTGTTGCTTGGTTTGACGGCTGTATTGTGTACTATTGACTACTTTTTGTTCACCTTTTGTGTTCTCTTCTAAGTTCTAACGCAAAGTCATGGTTGTCTGCCTTCTTCTGTTTCCTTCTAACAAGGGCACTTTCAACGGTGGAGATGGGTGGCGAGACCTACTTCCCGAAAGGCATACCATTTGATGCGGGAGCATCTGAAGAAGATGGCACAGGTGTATCGGTGAAACCAGTGAAGGTTTGTTCTTGAGGTCCTTAAGTCTTAATTCTGCGACTGGGCTTGTCAAGGACCACTCACTTTTTGGATGTCACTTGCATTTGTTCTCTTCCTATTCCGGCCCTTGTCTTCTTCCTGCGGATTTCTGTTTCTTTGGGTCAGAATTCAGAATTCTGCAAGTAGGCTTGTCAAGAAGTGCTCTCTTTGTGGATGTGGCTTGCATGTTTTCTGTCCCTTTACTGTCCTTGCCTGCTTGCTGCAAGTGTCTGCTTTCCCAGCATTGCTGTTGGAGCAGGTTTGTTCTTGAGGTCCTTAGTCTTAATTCTGCGACTGGGCTTGTCAAGGACCACTCACTTTTTGGACGTCACTTGCGTTTGTTCTCTTCCTTTTCCGGCCCTTGTCTTCTTCCTGCCGATTTCTGTTTCTTTAGGTCAGAATTCAGAATTCTGCAAGTAGGCTTGTCAAGAAGTGCTCTCTTTGTGGATGTGGCTTGCATGTTTTCTGTCCCTTTACTGTCCCTTGCCTGCTTGCTGCAAGTGTCTGCTTTCCCAGCATTGCTGTCGGAGCTATTTCTCAGCTCATTGTTGCACATCGGACAGCTTACACTTGCTTTTGAACCAATGCAATGCATACAGGGACGAACACTGATTTTCTGGAGTAGAAAGAGGGATGGACAGGAAGATGCGCTCAGTATTCATGGTATGTTGACCGCACCACAAGTGTGCATGGTTGTTCTCTCTCTCTCTCTCTCTCTCTCTCTCTCTCTCTCTCTCTCTCTCTCTCTCTCTCTCTTCCCCAACCACTATGAAATTGTACTGGAAAGTGAGCACAAGGTCCACGTTCCGCCCTCTGAGTAGGCAACTGACACAGGTGGTCTGCAAATCATTAACATTAACAATGAACCGAAACACAGTGAATAATGCTTTTTTTTTTTTTTTTTTTTGGCTCCTACCATTCTGGGGAGCAACAGTCCGGTTCCTATTCCCCTGGCAAGTCAATGGAAAGTGCAATGTTTACTCACCCTATGTTCCTCCCCATTATGGTTGGAAGGCCTGAGTGGACGGCATTGATTACTTCCAGAAGGAAGGATGTACCACCCCTCACCCCTGCCTAAGTTAGCCTCTTGTAACTAGTCCTCTGAATGGCCTTGTGTGCCTAATCTATCGCTGGTTGCTCCTCTCAGCTGTGTGGCTGTCAGTTGTTACATGTACCTCCAGAGCAAAACTGCGACTGTTGATCTCTATGGATTTCCCCCAACAATCCTACACCCTCCAAAAGGCTTGTCTGTCTACTTTACTGAAATCCCCTAAACCCTCCCAAAAGTTGTGCGATGCAGCTGCGCCTATTCAGCACCATACCATTGCATATCTACCAGTGACAATTGATGAGGAGGGAACGGGTCCGGGAACTCTGCGGGTGAGCGCAGTGGCACTCCTTGGTCCACTTTAGTCCATTCCTTGAAACAGATGCAATAGTCTCTCCTGAGGTCGATCTGCTCCTGTCCGGGGGACTGCCCACCCTCCCATCGGATATGGGCAATCCAGCCCCCTGTTTCACTACCCAGCCAGCCCCGAGAAAATTGATTGATTGCCTGTTGGATATCTTTCTTTGAGTGGTATGTCTGTACTTGGTTTTTGACCTTCTGCCATCTTGAGAGGAGTTCTTGCTGTACTGGATGTTTTATTATTTCCATTACTTCTTCTCCTTCCATACGGACTCCCTCAATATCGTGTGTGCATCGCTTCCTCCAAAGTGCCCAAATAACCGCTCTCCTCCCGAGCTGGAACATGTTATTTTCGAAATCGCTGTCCGTGGGGGAGGTCCATGCTTCGCAGAGCAGCGCCCTCCAATCCCATGGCCAAGTCGATCCGGTGCCCAGGAGACTCCATATCCTATCCCACCAGCACCAGGTGAGAACCGCTCCTGGGCACTGTAGGAAGATGTGTTCTATGGTCTCCGGGATCTTACGGGAGGGGAAGGCGTTGTGGCAAGATTTGCACCAGGGGAGCGCCAGACCCTTTTGCTCCAGGAACGTGCGGTCTATCAGCCAGTTATTTGTAGGGAGGCAGTGATGTTCTATCTGCCACTGTAGCGAGACAAATTTGGCCGGTTTAGATTTCATGGTTGAAAACCGCCGGATAGGGCGGACGGCCCCCTGGCTTGTGTTCAGGTGGGCTATCCAGCGGGCTTTTACTATCTCCTTAAGGTTCACCTTTGGCCGCAGTAGCCGGTAAATGGATTTCACTGACAGACTGTAGAGATATATGTTCTGGTTGGCTAGTGTTCTTCGTGCGGGAGCCCAGTGCCACTCCTCCGGGTCAAACGGGAGTTCAGCAAGGGTGTACCGGGGCGATATGCGATCCATTCGTCCTTGTGTTCCAGTACACGGATTCTATGCAACTCCTCGTTCTTCCACCACCTCACTGCGTCCGGCGTGTACCTGGTGAGGATATTTTCCTTTCCCTTATGGAAGAGGTTAACCAAGGATTCGTCTGCCCGTACTTCCACCATGTTGCCAACGCTTTCCGTGTCATCCGGGGCTGCGACCCAGTTTCCTTCCGCCAGCCGCGGCCCTTTGCGAAGGGTGCGCACCCAGTCAAGAGGGATGTCAAAGATCAGTGTTTCCAGGTTCCTTTCAATATCATGACAATACCTCATCTAAACCCTCAGTTGTCGCGCCGTTTTCCGGTCTTTGTTTGCCGGGTCCCATATGTCTTTGATTCTCACTATGCTGTTTTTGACCCAGCTGCTCCATGGGCGGTCCGAACAACGATGTACCCTGCCATTTTTATCAGTGATATTTCTGTTGCCAAAGAGGGGTTGCCTCATCACCTCTTCCCATCTATTTGGCGTGTTTTTTTCTGGCAGCGGTAGTTGGCGCCAGGCCTTGAGTACCCGGGGCCAGAAATCATCTCAGGCCAGGTCACTCCTCGCTGCTCCCCTGGTGGAGTCCCTGTCAACGCGAGGGCGCCGTGGAATGGGCCAGTGTCGATCCTCCAGTCAGGTCAGGGGGTCCACTCCTCGTGGTGCTTGTGGTGCCAATCTAACGATTTGTTCCAGTGCAAGGGTGTACCAGGGAAGGTCTGGCGTAAATATCAGTCGTTTGATCCATTGCACCATCAGCGCGGCCACCTGGGTGTTTGGGTCAAGGATGTCCAAGCTCCCTTTGTCTTTTGGGTTGAATCACCGATGACCAGGCCACCCTGCTTATAACGTTTGGAAGCTTGCTGTTGCCTCTCCATAGTAGTGCGGTTGTTTGTCTCTTGAGTGTTCTAACCGCTTCTTTACTGAGGGCCCAAAGTGCAGATCTGTACCAGAGGGCTGCTAGCACCACATTGTTGATTGCTAGTGCTCTACCAATCAAAGATGTGTGCTTGTCATTCCAGCGTGTCAATTTTTCCAGTGCTGGAGGATCCATTCGTCGTTCGGTGTCGGCTTCCTCGATGTCTTTAGCATTATGCCTAATACTCTGACCGGGGTGTTTTCCGGTAGCCATTTAACCCGCGGCTGTTCTGGCGGACGCACTCCTTGGTGGTGGATCCACCATCCAAGTGTTTTATTCCCCCAATTGACATTCATATCCGAGACTGTCATGAATCGCTCCAGCAATTGCTTGATCTCTTCTATGTTCTCGGGGGTGGCGTCCGCCATAATCGTTAAATCGTTTGCGAACATCGAACATACGGGGATTGCCTCCTCGGGGATGGCAGAGATCTGTAATTTCCTAAGGTCTTTATTAGTACGGAGGTTCGCAGCCAATGCCTCCATCACAATGATAAACAGGAAGGGAGCCAAGGGGTCAGTGAATAATGCTTTATAATGAACAGTATTTAGAAGTTAAGTGTTCCCTTGACCCCTGTGGAATGCCCTGCCAACTTGCCAGGACTGTTCTGGGTCATGAATAAAGATTCGAGCTCGAAAACGGGCAGGAGAAGACAAGGGAGAGGTGCATCTGTAAATCCATACTAGATGCTCGTTCCCTATTGGACTTCCCTACTACTAATCTGGAGGGAGATCGTGCCCAAGAAACTAAATAAACCTAGGTCCAAAGAAGAGGCACGTAGACAACCTCTTTGGAAACCCATGGATCACAGACGAGGGCAATCGCCCATGGACACTTTCCTGTAGAGGTAACAGATGTCTATCATGGATCAAGCACAGAATCCCGGACAAAGAGATTTTGAACGAGGGAGGGAAAAATTGGATGGAGGAAAAAGATCTGAAAACCCTGCTGAAGGGGTGCCACCATAGGGATGAAAACCTGCAGAAGAGCGTACAAAGCATCGCGGACAACCTGAAAGAATTACTCAAGGAAGGTTGCACTTGGAAACCAGGATAATGTGGGGTCTGAATCCAGAGAGACTACCCCAAAGAGGGCCTACCAATTCTCCCATCGACAGGCGACATTGTGGCCTCTCGCTGTTTTCACCGCCTTCCCTATCAGTAAGGCCAAACCGGATGAGCCCTCTGTCCATAACATCGATCCAGAAGCATTACCTCTGAATGCGTTTACACTGCACGAAGTGAGAGCGTCAGGAATTTGGCCTAAAATTACATTCCGATTCAGAACGGCTGTACAAGATCTAGAGTTCGACCCTACAGAATGGCCCTGGCTCGCAGAAGAAGACAAAAGTGTTATGACCCTGGCCAATTTCGAGATACACGTCCACTGGAAAGTACAATGCCATCCAAATGCAGAAAGAAATGAATGAACTTGAGAGAAGAGAGAGGAGTAGAAGAAGAAGAAGAAGTAAGAAAGAAGAAGAAGTAAGAAAGAAGAAGAAGAAGATGTACACCAGCAAAGACAATGACAAGGCTCTTCTTCTTCGCCCAACAATCTCCTCCTCCTTATCTCCCCCTTCCCTTATTCATACAAGAAATAAAATGATACAATGTTGAATGACGGGTCCAGAATCATGTCCGAGTCCCTTTTCTACTGCAGGTATCACTCAAGGTCCTCCATAGCCATGGCCGCCTCTCCCACTCTTCACACACATAGGCCGAGGCTATGGCGGACTACTAGGCCTTGCTCCGATGTCCAAAGGACAACGCAGAGCAGCTATGGCTGCTCCAGCTCAGGCCGCCATGCCCAGCCTTGCCTTGAAGCTTCTTGGTGTAGCTCCCCCCGGCTGGGGACTCCTTGCAGCAGCGCCCACCAAGGTGATGAAGATGGCTGCCACCATAGCCAGGTAAGTACCCCTGGCGCTGCTCCCCCTTCCTCCTTCCTTCCTCCTCCTTCCTCCCCCTTCCTCCCTCTAGTCCTTCTTCTTCCTCCCCAGCAGCGCAGCTCCAACCCAGCGCTGCTCCCTCCAGCGCTCCACCAGTGTGTCGCCAAACTTGCACACCGAAAAAGAGGCCGGGTCTTCCGCCCGACCGGAAGATATAGCGGCCTGCTTTGCCTCTTGGGCGGTGACTTCCAGGCCGCTGGCCTTCACAAGCAACCGGTACCTCTTCCTCGTTTTGGAGGGAATATCATCGCAGACTCTGATATTGCCCCTACAGGCCCTAGACTCAGACTGGTACCCGCTAGACCTAGCCTACACTACCCGCCTCTAAAAATGCCACTTTTGTCTTCTTCTGCTCGGCCTTCGGTACCTGGATATTTACCCCCCTGCCGGGTGCGGTACCGGCCTACCCGCTACTTGAGTGCTTTTTCCCTGCTGCAACCCTTCGAAGCCACGGCCACAGCCCAACGAACG